CCAATGTAGCTTACAAAGACAAAACTCACCAAAACCATTGACCAATGTAGCTTACAAAGACAAAACTTACCAAAACCATTGACCAATGTAGCTTACAAAGACAAAACTTACCAAAACCATTGACCAATGTAACTTACAAAGACAAAACTTACCAAAACCATTGACCAATGTAGCTTACAAAGACAAAACTTACCAAAACCATTGACCAATGTAGCTTACAAAGACAAAACTTACCAAAACCATTCACCAATGTAGCTTACAAAGACAAAACTCACCCAAAATACTCACAAAAACAACCCACACAATAAATAAAAACAACTCAGAAAATATATTTTTTTTTTAAAAAGGAACGAATTTTTAAAACAAGACATAATATAAAACACAGACCATCAAGTCACGACTCAAACAAGACACATTATAAATCACGCACTCTATTCGCCACTCAGACAAGGTACAATAAAAATCACACCATTTACTCACCACCCCAACATTGCTGCCGCCTCCCACCATTCGGTTATAGAAGCCGGGTTGCCAGGGTTGGCTTTAAAAGTAAGTTTGCCTCCGAATTTCTTATGGAAATCTTGGAGCATTGCTGAAAACACAATAAAGCATTGTAACTACGGCAGGTGTAGGTCAAGGTAAAACACTTGCAAACATTTTCGATAGCTTCTAATCAAAATATTGAATAGAAATTTTAAACATGTCCAGTTCTAAAGTATAAAGAATGATGTAGTGGTCGACTTACAGGTAGTATCCACTAAATCTCCATAAAAGAACTATGTCAAACAAGATGGTTTAAAGCGTAATAACACAAAACAAGAAGATCCAACGGACTATTTCCTGTCACGTTCACTAAGCTGAGTCCTTCTATATCTTTCATATTTTTTTTTCAATTTCGATGATGGAGGAAAACATTAAACCGTTACATCCGTTTAATCTTCTATTTTGATATTCAAGCTTCAAGCTATGGTGTTCAGAATATTTAAATTTATCGAGTCTGGACTGCTAGAAAAAAGATAGACTATAAAAAAAACAAAAGAACAAATTTCAATCATTACGCATCGCCCCGTTGTCGTCCGAGAGATCCATCTGGCCACTGGCCAGATTATTGTGTCGTTTCCACGTTAATCCAATTTTCTCCAAGCTCTGGGAAGTTGATGCCTTCAACTCCTCGAGTTTGGCCAATGTTTCCCCAGGCTTTCCAGCTATTTTCTCATCCCAAGCCTTCACCTCAACCAACAGCGAATCGAATTTCTCGTTGGAAGTTTTCAGCAGTTCCCCAAGTCGCTTGTCCAGCCTCTCTGCTAGCTCGTCCCTCGATATGAGCTGATTGAACGCAGCGCTGGCGTAAGAGTTGTTCTTGAACAGGAGGATGCCACAGATAACGGCTGTCACGATTAATAATATGATGAACAGCATACGCTTCGGAACAGCACTCGGGGTGTGATCACTAAAACATAAACAAGAAAAAAAAAGAAACATATATGTGCATGTAACAGCCCGAAATTAGTTGTTTCTTTGTTATAAAATAATGCTGACAAGAAATCCAGTTACAGCGTATAAAATGCATTTGTTTTTAAAAGGCTGCCCAAATTTGAAAATTGCCAGCAATCTTGAGCTGCAGGGCTGTGAAATATAACACATTTGAAGGTTTGGACACGCCCGTAGATTGGCTGTATTATAAAGCATATGTGCAACCAAGGATTCTGTCCTGAATAGCAGTACCATGACTTAGCAACCTAGGATCCGCTTGTTGATTGGCTGCTTCATAATAACATATTTGCATCCTAGAACTCCGCCTGCTGATGGCTGCATGTGCCATATGACATAATTACAACTTAGCAGCCGCCTGCTTCCGGCTGTGCCATACAACATATTTACAACCTATGACCCGCCTGCTGATGGCTGTGTCATGTAACATATGTGCAAAGTAGAAACCACCTGCCCCCGTAGCCTCCAGAATGTTATTTGGAACGAAATCGACCTCGTTTGAGGGGCTAGTGTGCAATCCTGACATTTCCGGTCTCTGATGTGGTCTTGCCTATGGAAATAGTATGTCTTTCAGCAGGATATTTTTTTTTTTATATTGAAGCCCTAATAACTGTCCAATTTCTTAACGACGAAAGATCTGTGACAAATATTTCTATCGTAAGTTCATTTATGTTTGTGTGTGTGCGTGTGTGTTTCTTTAGTGGGTTTTTTTCTTGTCATCGGCATATCCCATTGCTCAAATATCAAATACCATAGCTCAAATCTCATATCCCATATCTAAGATTTCATATCTCATATCACATATATCATATCTCGATTTTCAGATATTACATCTTTAATATCATATATCATATCTAATAGCTCAAATCTCATATCCCATAACTAATATCTCAGATCTCATATATCAGATCTCATAGCTCATATTATAGCTCAAACCTAATATCTCATGTCCCATAGCTCATATCTCATATCATATAGATCATATATGATATATCAAATCTCATATATCATATCTCATATCTCACATCTTATATCCAAAGCTCATATGTCATAGCTCATATCTCAAATACAAACTTATATATCATATCTCAAATCACATATATCCTATCTCATAGCTCATATCTCATATCCCCTAGCTCATATCTCAAATCTCATGTCCCATAACTCATATAGTTTAAAGCAACACTTACCTTTTCATTGCTGTAACTTGTTATGACAACTGTTCAAACACTGGTGATAGAACAATAATAGCGTAATATCAAGAAACAATTTGATATCGATTGAAATACTTTTTTATATACAAAGTGTAAGTTATGGGCAGACTTATAAGATGTATGGATTAAACATATCTCAAGGAGATAAATTGTTGTGATAGTTAAACGCTTATAGGATTTTAGTTCGATTGATTTTAGTTCGATTGCTTTTAGTTGCACCTTTAATATAACAGTGACGAGTGCTGTTATCGCGCAATTTATATTAGAAGTGAGATCTGTACCTTGACACATTACAATGGCAAAGAATGATTCTATAATAGCGATGAACATAATTATGGTGTGCATTATAATAGCGATTAGTGATGTTATTGTGCACACGTTAATAACTAGATGTGGGTTATTGTGCACATTTTAATAGTTATTTGTGGTGGTATTGTGCACATGACATACACATGACACAGTCATGACTGAAGATTCAAAAGAGTTTGATGAATTGTTACTTTTTTTTAAAAAGTAAAAATAAATATATCTTTGGGAATGTTCTACAAACAACACGGTGTGGCTCTGGTCAATTCAATAATGTTTACACCCTCTAACCCAGTGGTCACGAAACGTTTTCTTTCTCTGGGCCTAAGGGAAGGTGTACCCCATAGCAGCCTTAGGTTAAATTATAACAAATACAATGCGAAATATCAAATCTTGTGAACATTCTCAGGAGAGTCTGCTAGCGGTTATAAATAAGTGGGTTACTGGTTTTCACAAGTCCGTTTAATGTCGCGTCCTATCGCTTTGAAATCAAAATAAAGTTATGAAACTTTCGTCACATTGCGAGGAGACCCCTGGTGCGAATAAGCGATTCACAGGACAGAACAATTAGGGAACCACTGAACTATAAGCCATTTTTTATTAATAATAAAAACAGCGTGTATTTAATAATAATGATAAGAACTATGGTGGTAACAATAATAATATTTATAATAATAATGCAGTTATAAATAGTGTAAATATTACGAATAATTCACTGATGTTGATAATTTTCATTGAGTTTGTTCCTTGATTGATGCGAAAAATTATAAAAAGTGTTGGACTGATATAAAGGTATGAAATAGATTAATTAGACACGAACAATTTGTGCCAATATAAAAAATATATATCTTAAGCTTTAATAATAATTTTATATAATACACAAGTAGACATTTCGGCACATGCCTTCCTCAGTACAATAACAAAACATTTAAATATGTATCAATTAAATTGACATAATATACATATATCCTACACAAAAAAAAGAGAAAAAATAGGTGTGGGCGCAAAAAACCAGACAGAAACAAATTAAAGAAGAATGGAAGTGACTTGGACTATAATGTACAGAGCCAAACAGGAAAAAAGACATGGCAGCAGTGGCCTAGCGAGGGTGTTTGGCGCCCGGGGACAAGATTCACGCCCGGCGACAAGATCCATTTTTAGCGCCCCTTTTTCTTTTTTTCAACTCTCAAACCCATTATTTTCATCAATAAAATAATATCAAAGCACATTTTGGCGCCTCTAACTAGCTGGCGCTCGGGGAATCTGTCCCCCCCCTGCCCCCACCACGCTACGCCTCGGCATGGCAGTTACGTAAAATTGTGGATTTAATTACTCTGGTTTCCAGTAAACGTACCAAATTTTGTTATCAATTTATTCTCCAGATATATCCAATCCGGCGTGTTACTAGTATACAGTATACCCGGTGCTGCGATGTCCAACACTCCATCATGGTTAGTGCTAGTGAAATGTTTGGAGGCGGTAAAGAGAGCCTGTTTATTGAATGCTGTGTCTCGGTAGATTAGTTCCTAGATTTTAGCTGCGCAGTTAGACTAAAGTTAATGTGCTGGGTTAATAGAACTTTTAAAATGATAAAAAGCTAGTGTTGAAAATTTTTAAAGATTTAATACATTAAACCCAATCCCTACTACTTATGGGACTAAATCGCCGTGAAGAACGTATTTAATCTTATGGGACTAACTCACTGTG